TTCCGCCGCCCACGGCCCCGCCCCGCTCCGCCTCAGCGCGCCGCCGGGCTCCGAGGGCGCTCCGCGATGTAAAACAGATCAAGGTTGTCTTAAGTCAAGATGGTTTTCGGTGTAAGATCTTTGTACACTTTCAAGCTTTATAAGGAAGAAAGGAGACCTAGTCAGTGGAACAGCCAGCGTTCCCTAGCCAAGGACATCCGGGAATGAAAAGCCTTAAGGATGCAGTAAATCAGGACGTTGATGTATGTCTGTGTATACATTGCTAACTTGGCAAAATAATCAAGGTCCACGTAGGCTGTAGCTGAACTGTGTTCATTATAATAGTTAAAATCATGCCCACAGGGCAAAGGGAGCCCTGCCCAGGTGAAGACCCTTCCCCTGAGGGTGTGTGGAAGTCAGCTGGGGTTGTGTAACTTGTTTGGAAATTAATAACCAAGCACAACAGACTCGGACAGTTACTAACTCTGAATTTCTGTGTACAAATAATGGCTCCAAAAGTCTGGTGGGGTTTGATTTGTGGATTACCACCAAGTACACCGGTTGGCACAACCGCGAGATAAATAATCAGCATCTCTCTCTTGAGTGTGTAATTATTGGCTTTTTGCACACCAGGTAAGGAATCTGATTTTGTGAGCAACATGGATGTCTCTATATACGGCTGTCTCTGACCTTGCAGGTGTCTTTTGTGGATGAGCTGGGGGTGGACCAAGGTGCAGTGTCCCAGGAGCTCTTCAGCATTGCGGCCAGGACCCTCTGCCAGCCCAGCACCAACATCTTCTGCCACTCCCCCTCCGGCCTCGTGTGGTTCCCCAGACAGGTAAGGCAGCCCTGTAGGGGTGGGTGGGGGTGGATGGGGGCCCCACCCATGGGAAAAGGCACTCGTGGCTTGTTCCTAACCAGGTGTGCTTGTTCCTAACCAGGCCCCAAGCTGTGAGGATGAGGACATCTTCCTCTTGATCGGGACACTATGTGGAATGGCCCTGTTTAACCAGCGCACGATGCCCTTCCCCTTCCCCAGGGCTCTCTACAAAAAGCTGCTGGACGTGGCCCCCACCCTAGAGGACCTTGAGGATCTGCTGCCAACTGTGGGCCGGTATGAGCCAGGCATGGCCCAAGCTTCAGCTGGGTCCCTTGCCTTGACCATGCACTGGGAGATCCCAGAGGCTGAATTTGGGGCACCCATGGCATCTACATTCGCCTTTGTGAAGCTGCTAGAAGCCACAGATTTCCAAGGACATCCTTGTCCAGGGCATGGATGTTGCTCTGAGAGGCTAGCGTTGCCAAAACAAAGTGCCAAGCCTCATGACTTAGAGGGTGTCAGATCTCTGCTCCACCACAGCTTAAGTCCACACTGTGAATATATAAGTGTTCAAAACACTTTGGGCTGTAGTTTTGACTTGAAAGAACTAGTGACTCAATTATTAACGCTGGGGGTTTTTTTTCTGATTTACTAATTATCAATTTCCACAATATTGCCTTGCACAAGTACAGTATTACAAAATGCTGCCAATTCTTAGAACCCTTGTGCAGAGTTTCCATGCACTGGGAGAGGAGATATCAGGCAGACATAAGAGGGAGAGGTGCTGCTGCCACCAGCATAATGCTTTTAGGCCCCTGAAGCCCAGTCTTCCAGGCAGGTGATGTAAACAACCAAAATGAGAACCCCATCCCATGAGCCAGTGACTGTGTTGAGGTGCTAAATTCCTCAGGTGTCTCAGTGAATTGGAGCACAAGGTTGCCTGCAATACTTGGAAAGGTGCTGCACCCCAAAACAATTCTCCCAGATCATCCTTCTGTTCCACACTTTATTCCTCACTAGATAATGTCTGGAAGCAAGACTGTGGTCCCAACTCATTTGTCACTGAACTTGGTGTAAAGCTGTCCACACAGGGCATGGGGATGGACTTGCCTGGAAACTTTTTTTACTGGAGGCATTTGTGCTCAGCTTATGTCAGCAGCATGATGAAATTTCAGGGCCATATATCATGTTTCTGTGTGAATGTATGTGTTGTGTACGTGTATGCATTTAAATACTGCTTGTCAAAGGATGTTTTTTAGCAGAATTTGCAAGTGCACTGAATGGTCACATTTCTTCTCTCTTCAATACCTTTTGTGTTTGGACAGGAGTTTTCGGATAATTTTGAATGAAGAAAGTGATATCTTGGACTTGAACTTCACGGTAAGACATCCCACAAAGGTACTCGGGCAAGACAGTGTCCCACTGCAAATGACACAACTTGTCTGTAAACTCAGACTAGTGAGAGTGCCATGTCACACCCTTCAGGAGGAATGAGAGATGTAGCAGCACGTATATATCTGTCACATATAGATATAGCAGCCAATGTTTTAATTTATTTGCATAGAAAATGGAAGGAGATTCCATGGATGTTGTTGAACTTAAAGAAAATGGTGCTAACATTCCTGTCACTAAGGATAACAGGTCAGTTTTATTTTTATATTTCTTAATCCTGTTGTCTTGTTACAAATGTATGAAATAACATGTCTGTACCCATCCCCATATACTGTTAGAAAATATTGACTTCTGTATTGTGCCATTGGTCTTGGTCCAATAGGTTGCACACTTTCAGTTCTGCTGTACTGGCTGCACACAAGCTAAACACCAGCAGTTTGTGCAAGCAGTGGATAACATGGGGATCCTTGGATATCCTGGTATCTGCATATACAGATGCTTGGCATTAACAGGAAAAATCCTAACAAATGTAAAATATAACCTTGGACAGTATTTTCAGGCAAAACCAGGTGATTTTTCTGGGAAACCCAACTACAGGTACACCTCTGTAAGGGTTTTTTAAGAGCAAAATATTTCCTGCTTAGTTACGTATATGGAATGTATCTTGTACATAAAGGAGAAGGAGCAATCTATCAATAAGGCTTTGTGTCAATATTAATCTCTGCTCAGAGGACAGAGAGAAATTTTGTGTCCTGAATTATGCAGATGACCTGAGGACCCATGAGGATCCATGAAAGGGCTGTTTAAGAAGCTTGAAGTAGAGCATTTACATTGAGTTGATTGTACAGTATGATGTCACTACACAAATCCCCATCTGAAGTAGAGAGAAGAGCGAAACTATTGATTAGCAGCTGTGCAAATATTTATTTCGATTTCAGGGAAATTCTTGGGCATTCAATGGGAGTTAGGTCTGCTAGGTTCCATCTTTTATAATAATCAGGTGTCTGACAGGATTTCATTGGAGCATTCACATGACATACAAGGAGTGTTACTAAAATTAATCCATTCTGGCCAGCATTCTCTTTTATTTGTGAAGATGCTCCCAGCTTATTCAGTGAATAATTGCCAGTGACAAGTGGTCTCAGTGAAGACAGAGTCTGTACCCCACAGCAGGTCATATGGAGTAAAGGAATAAAGTTCTCTATAATTCTCCTTTTAGAAAAGCACCACCAATGCTCGTTTGGTATCTGTTGCAGGAAAGAATATGTTGATTTGTACGTGAATTATATGTTCAATAAATCAGTACAGAAGCCATTTGAGGACTTTATGCAAGGCTTCTTAAGAGGCTGCCCAGCTAGAAATTGGAAGATGTTTTTCCCTGAAGAGCTGCAGGATCTTCTACAAGGACGCACAACATTTGACTGGTATCTGCTGGAAAAGGTATTGTATACAAGCACAGTGTCCTTCTGTTCTGTCTGCTAAGCATAAACTACTTCTGACCTGTTCTTTCACTGAGTGCATAACAGATGGACAGAAGCTCCAAGAGCTTTCTCTTTTTTTGATTTGTGTCGATGTTTTGTCTCTAATCTACATCAGCCACAAGAATAAAGGGAATAGGTATCAAGCCATAACTCAGGGATTGTCATATGAATCTTTGAAAAACAAATGAACAAGCAGATTCCAGAGGTTAAGGGGATTTGAATATCTGTGAACAGGATTATAAAATGTATCAGATAAAATGTTGCTTTAAATATAAATGGAAATATTGAGGATTAACTGGCCTGTTTTATTTTTGTCTCTTTGACAGAATGTGATATACGTACACTATGAGAAGTCAGATCAAACCATCAGGAATTTTTGGACTGTGTTTCACAAGCTACCAGAAGAAAAAAAGAAACTGTTTCTTGGTAATTTATCAGGCATTTAAAACTTTGCATAGCCCTTTTCTTTCCCCCACAACACACATACTATATACTATACTGTACTATAGTTCCAAACTGTAGCTTTTCAATGTGTTCACCCCTGCTGCTGCCGCTGCTACATTTTCTAGGGAAAACCACAAAAAAATAACACAAGGAGTTGCATAGGGACAGCTCTGACCCTCCTCACATCCCCTGAGGTTTGCCTGAGTGCACCCTGAAGCTTGCAGTTACTTTATCCCTTAATTTTGTGGTTGTGTTGTTGGTCAGAGGCTGCAGTATGTGAGAGTACACTGTGTTGATGTAAGCAGTATACCTTTTTTCAAAGGGTTGCAGAAGCTAGGTCATCCTTTTTAAAGGCAGAAGGTCAGACCTATCCTGGCCTTTCTCATCCACACAGTCTACAATATGAAGTAGAAGAGGGCTTGTAACTACTGTGAGTCGGTAAGAGACTTTAATTTATATTCAGGTGCAAATTCAACAAATTAGCTTAGGAAAATATCTGTTTGTTTACACTAATTTCCGTTCATTTAATTAAGATTAACATTTTCATTAACATTAATTATTTTAATGATTTTCAGCTAACATTATTTTACTTTTTTTTTCAATTTGCTAACTTACTGTTTTTCTTTTTTTTCATTCCTTCAGTTTTTTTGTCAGGATCCGATCGCAGCTCTGGCTATGGATTGGTACCTTTTAGATTTCACATTGCAGATCCTCAAGTAGAAAATCCAGATGAGAGCTCTCCCTTTGCCAGTACTTGCCGCCTGATTTTGTTCCTCCCCAGATATAGCAGTAAAAAAATACTCAAAAAGAAGTTGCTTTATGCCATAGAGCATAGTGAAGGTTTTGGCCTTGACTAACTCTGGGATAGAAGCACTTAAAAGCAAAAATAAGAATATGAGTCTTTGTTCATTTGTCATATTTTCTCTTAATAACTCAAATTCACTGGTTTCTACCCTGCCTTATTTCTACTGCACTTCATAAACACCTGAGTGTGTGTATTTGCTGAGATTTTACATTGCTTATAAAATTGAGCTTTGACCGGATATTTCATAGTTAGATTGTAAAGTTAGGAAAGATTGATCCTGTTTGGCACACTTCAGAGTAGCAAGCTGATAGCCAAGCATATTTACATATATGTGCAAGCAGGGTCTGCACTGCTCTGGTTGTGTTAGGACAGTGAGCTCCCAGCAGCAGGGATTCTGTGATTTGTACATTTATGCATTAGCAACCACCAGGATGTGCTAAGCAGTCACCCTTGCAAAACAAAGCTGGGGTAAGGTTTTCATCTGTGTTACTTAAGGGTTCTCTTGGGAGCAACTAACACATTTAATGAGATTGTGAAATGAAGGAGCAGTCTGTGCTCACCTGGATATGGTCTATGATTTATCTGAGAGAAATTCGTAGGAGGATTTGATAATTCCTAGACTTTTTCAAAAGCTGTATTAATTAATTATAATAATACAATTTTTTTATTATTTAGTGTGATAATTGTGATATTTGTCATGTTTCTTTATATCTTCTAAGGAGATGTTTCACAATTAAGTCATAAAATCTTAGGCTTGCAGAACATCACTGTCTACAGAGCCCTGTGTACATGAGGCTGGCAGGGCTTCAGGAATCTCATTGTCAAAACAGTGCAGAGCACTGGCAGGATATTAACCATGTCAGGCAGGATGTGTGTTTACTGTGTATTTTGCTGTGTGGAGAGAGGGAGAGAAACAACAGCCATTATTTTTCAGTAGTCTTCTGTGTGGTGCATTAAATGTGTCAGGGAACATCCATATGTAAAGAAGACTTCCACTGTCTTAAATTAAATGATGATGGATTAAATTTTCACCCCTGTAGCTGTGTTCTTCCTTCCTTATGCATCTGCCTATGTAGATGAGCGTAGCAGGCAGTGTGTCTGTGTTCTCTGTCCTCCTTGGAATGGGGGGGCCTTTCACAAGTGGAGTCAAAGGCTGATGTAAGCATGTTTCAAAGAGATGCACTGCATATGCTGAACAAGTCAGTCTTTCCTGTGTGATGCAGAATGACATTGTTACCTCCTTGGAAAAAAAAAAAAAAAAGGCAAGTTTCCTTTTAAGTTACAGTATAGTAATTAGTAAAAAAAAAAAAAAAAAAAAAATTAAAATTCAAGCACTCACCACAAGCACCAGGGCAGTACAGGAAAGCAGATGGCATGGGAGTGTTGATGGGAAGAGGGGAAATAGGACTTCAGAGGATGGCAGGTCCCAGCACAGGGGAGCAAGGGGACATGGCCTACCCCTCACTCCTCTGGAACAAACAGGACATCACAGGATGCTTACATCCTCTAAGAAAGGCAGCACTCTGGTGTATTTTTGTGGAAAGAGGGAACTGGCAGAAACCCAAGGTGTTGCCCACATCTCATGTCCAGCTGATGCTGCCACGCCAGCACAGATTTCTGTTTTGGCAACTTAGCCTGCTGTTCTTCATCAGCTTGCTCCTAGCTCTTCTTTCCCTTTTTATGGTTTTCTAAGCCTCTGGTAAGACTTAGAAATCCAGAGTGATCTTCTGTGCTGTGTAAGTGCACAAAAGATATATTCTCTTTGGAATTCAAAATAACCCATTAGAGATTAAATGATAATAGGTTTATTTAGAGCCTGGAGGTATTTCCTTCTCATCATGTATGATGCAACGTCACATGGGAGATTAAAGCCCAGAGTCACTTTCAAGGCTATTTTTAAGTTGTCCTCAAAAAATCTCTGCTTATATATATATATATATGTGTGTGTGTGTATATATATACACATTACATAAAGACTTTCAGAGTAGTGCACTCCTCTCTGATTTTCTGAAATTAATTTGGACACTGGATTGTGCCTACATTTTCTCAAGCAGTGCCTGTTATAAAATATGCAGGAGAATATAAGATGAGCATCACATTCAGCTGTGAGTTCAAAAGGCTTCACACAGGCAGCAAAAGTATATTGAACCTGCAGCAGGATTTTTTTAGGCCACTCATCTGAACTGAGAATCACCTGTAGACAAGCGCAAGAGCAGCCTTGAAAGTTCTACAGGAAGCTGAAATGTAACCAGTTAAAAATTGGTTTCAACAAGAGACTCCTGGCCCCTCACGCAAATTCCAGGCTTTGCTCCATCATTTTCTTCTTCTTTTTTTTTTTTTTTTCTGTCTGTGTGTGTGTACCTTCCCCTCCTTGACTATGCAATCAGAAACAGAGGAAACTGAGTGTAAAGGGAAATGATCTATTTTGCAAAGGTCTCCAGACGATGAAATAAACAAAACAGAAACAAACACAAACACAGAAAAGTATGTTTTCCTCTATGTATGCTTTCAGTTATTCTAGAAGCGGCTTGTAACACTGCTTAAGCCAAAGTTACATGACAGGTGTAATTTTATATTGGAGTAGCTATTTATCCTAAACACACATGATCCATGCAAATAGAGGTGATTTTTCACCTGATCTGTGACATATTTTCTGCTAACTGCACAAACTCTGCAAACTGCCAGAGATGCAGCGTAAGGGCCGCGAATACTTGTGGGCACTGGACACACCTTAGGGACTGCTTCCCCGCTTACTGAGCCCTTGCAAACATCTGTCTGAGGTTTGCTCCAAACATTGACTCTCATTTTGGTGGTCTGAATGGGATCCAGCTTGTGCGCTATTCTTGTGGAGCACAGTCTTTTTCCTAATAGATGGCACTGAAACCAGAAAATCAGTACTTGGGAGTTACATAATTGCTTGCTCATTGGCCTCTTTTTTTTTTTTTCCCCTCCCCCTCTCGCTCAACGGAGATTTTGACAACAAACCTTTTCTGAGGTTGAAACTTTCTATAAAATTTGAGCTCCTAAACAAATGAGCCTGCCAGGTGACCAGAGGCCACATAAAAGGAAGAAGAAACAGGCACGGGGGAAAGAAACTGACTACTCTTACTCTTAATAACACTTACTGTTATTAGTAAGTGACATTTCGCGCTTAACGCATTTCCAAACACTGGAAAGCTGCCTTTCCCTGGAGACCTTCATTTAGAACAGCTTAAATTCTGGAATGGGCTTAACTTCGGCCGTGGGTTTCTGCTGCGTTTAGAGCGGCTAGCCATCTGCAAGGCGGGCGGTGGGGGGCTGTCCCCAGCGCTCCTCCCGCGCCCCGGCATTCCAGCAGCGCTGGGAAGGCCAGGCCCCTGCCAGGAGTCCGGAGCGCCCCCAGCAGCGCGGAGCCGTGCCCGAGCTCCGGGGAAAGGAGATTCCCGGCCCTCCCCGCGCCCGCCGGGGCCGGGCCCGCCCTGCGCATTGGCCGCGCCGCGCGTCACTCCCGGCGGCGGCGGGGCCGGGACTTCCTCGTCGCCGCGGCGGCAGCGGCGGGGCTGGCGGTGAGTGCCGGAGAAGGACGGCTCGGCCCCGCGGTGCGGCTGCTGCCGGTCCCGCTGCCGAGGCCATCCTTGGGGGAGCCGGGGCTCGGGCGTGGCGGAGCCCCCGGCGCAGGACGCGCGTCCCCAGCCCGGGGCGGCCGCGGGGCTGCGGCGGGAGCTGCTGCTGCAGCATCACCCGGCTGCGGGCTGGGCGCGGGGCCGCTGCCGCTCCGGGGTCGGTGGGTGCCCGCCGGGAAGCGCCGGTCGGGGCGTGGGAAGCAGCCGCAAGAAGCCCGGGGTGTCCGGGGTGATGGCAGGGAGCGAGCGGTGTTTTTACTGGGATTGCAAAATGGAGGTGATGGTGGGGGGGTTGTTACATTTGATTTTAGGTATCTATTTTATATGTTTTCTGTGGGGGTATCTCCATCTGAGGACATGCGGCTGTGCAGTGGAAATACTCTGCTCGTGCTTTAACTCATTTGCTGGTACACCTTGTATTCTCTTGCTCTGTAACCTGCTTTACATTGGACATTGAGTTGGACTGAAACGGAGGGAAAAGAAGAAGAAAGTGGGCTTGGAGGCTTGGTGGCAGAAAGAGGCAGTAAATTCCGTCATTGTGGAGCAATGCTGGTAGAAGAAACACACTCGTTATCTGAAATCTCACAAACAAGAGGGAAGGAAAAATTTGTTTATTTATGCCCTGCCAGTTGGCAGATCTCTTTGTTTAGACAGCATTGAGCCTTGAGTGTTGTTTGTTGCGATCGTGATATTGACTTAGGTGACTTTCCCAGAAAGGGCGCACAGTGGAAATAGCTTTAGAATATGTCTGTGTGATTTTGAGGAGAGACTCTGCATGAAATGAGAGCTTTTGAAAAGAAAAAGAAAAAAGACAAAATACATCGTGTCATGATTATACATGCAGCATTATTATTTTACCAAACCACGGGGGCTGTTTTTTCACCAAAGCATATATACTTAGTATGTCAGCAGAACCTTATTATAGCAGAGGGTGAGTCTTCCACCCACAATAGATTTCCTCAAAATATTCCTCACAGTGTGAGGTTTTCCTAGCTCTGGCTGTGCTATGTATGTTCTTTGCTGTTTTGATGATGAATTATTCCTGGAATGTCAGGGTCTGAGGATGTGGTGTTGTATCTTCCCCTCTCTTTTTTGTATGTGGGGAATCTCTGTAAATGCCTGGCTTTACTGCATTGCATCTGTTCGTATCTCTGAAACATGAATACCAAGCTGGCTGTATTGGGATTTCTGAAGAACAGGAATAGGTTATGTGGTTGGGTACTGCATTTCTTGTGCTTTTTGCAATCCAATTTTTAAAAGGAACTCTGAACTTTAATCCCTAACTGATGCATTTAAGAAAAACCTCTTTCCTAAGGGTTTGCTCTCTGAAGATAAAATTTCAGCTTTTTTAAGGTGTATTGGACTAGGAATATTATCACTTACATAAAGTTTCAGATAAGTGAATATAAATCATATATTTAATGTATACATGTGTATGTGCAGGCACATGTCTGTTAGTGCTTGCCTACACTAGAAACTTCTTATGTCATTGTTTTAGTATGAGGAAGGTATGCAGTTTGTAGAGGTAGCTTGCAGTGGCACATGGACTTCCTCTTGCTACTGTCAGAGAAGAGTAACTGCCTTAACCGGATTGGAAACAGTGTGAAATTGTTATTTAAGGTCTCCTTATGTTTCAGGACACAGGTCCTACTTGAACATACAATGTATTAAGACCTTCAGGTTTTTTTTGTTGTTTTTGGTGGTGTGGTGTTTTTTTGGTTTTTGTGGGTTTTTTTTGGGATTTTTTGGGTTTTTTTTTGGTTGGTTGGTTGTTTTTTTTTTGTTTTTGTTTTTTTTTTGGTTTTTTTTTTTAAGGGGAGACAACAACAGTCTTAAGTAGTGGTTTTAAAAATGTCTTCAGTATAAGTAAATTCACCAGGCTATTTGAAATATTTAGCTGTGCCTGTACACTCAGATTGTGAGTGGCTGTGTTTTTTGCTCTGCTCTCCACTGGAAAGTGTTGGTCTCTTTCTGTGAAACTGAGTTGCACAGACATTTATTGGCAAAATGTTGGAAAATGGGGATGGATAGAGATGGCATAGTCCATGGAGATGATTTTAGACAAAACTAGTGAAAACTAGATTTTCTGTGTCAGGTATAGGGATAGTTAAATATGAGGAGCTTCAGAAAATCTTCAGAAATTCATGACTGTAGCATGAATGGAGGGTTGAACTCTGAAATATCACCTTCTGTTTGTATGGATTACTGGGAGTTTGAAATCCTCCTGTTTCAGTAGTAGTGTCTTAGCTGGAGGAAAAACCCATCTCTTACCAATCACATCATACTCCCTTGCCCATTAGCAGCAAATTCTTGTGTGGAATATGAACACAAGGAAAGTAATTAATGTATTTTTAGCATTTTTAAAAGAAACTAGCGCTAGGGAAGATGACTGTAGCCTATAGGGAGCAGACTGTCAAGGTACCCTTTTA